ATGTTGGGTTTTTGGGGATGAGAGGAGAGAAGATGTCCCCTTCTGCTGGGACCTGCTGGATGGGAAGGAGATAACGTTGGTCTGAATCGCATTTACTGGGTCTTGGAGGTGGTGGTGGTGGTGGTGAGGAGGTCGTGAGCTGCTTGCACATTATTGGAGTTTGTGATCTTATATATGTATACGAAGTGTATAAGCCTCGGGAGTTTAGGTACGTGTGTCTACGGAGTATGTTCCAAGGCTCGAAATTGAGAGAGAGAACCCAGCCAGAAGAGGGAGGGGGAGGGGGAGGGGGAAAGGAGACGGAGAGATACTAGAGGTGTTTCTGGAGTGGGAAGTGGGAAGGGATTTTTATAGTGAAAATTTGAGGGAAAGGTACGGCCTCAAAAGCGTATGCGTAAAATTTTTAACACAGTACAAACGTATGGTGTCTTTGGTGGAGCCGGCTGGATTACTGTTGGAGGGTGCGTACGTTTTTGGTGGTAGCAAGACTAGAAGGCCTATTTTTCTGTTCTCTTCTTCTCTCCTCATTGGAACTCAGATTTGAGAATTGAAAGGGTTTTTGTCTAGCCCAAATTGTTCACAATCCTCAAGACACAGATGGGTAGTTTATTCATATTCAAACCTCCCCACTCTTTTCCTCCAAAAAAAGAAAAAAGAAAAAAGAAAGAAAGAGAAACTGGAAAGTCGGAAGGAAGAATGGTAGCAGCATTGAAGCATTTGGAAACATCACAAAAGCATATACAGACACAAAAAGTACCAAGTCCTAAAATGAAGAGTCAAATTCGCACTTCAGCAGCGTCTTTCGGATGTGGGGGGTGGCATTGGAAGCCAAAAAAATGGTAGAAGAAGATTCATCATCATCTATGGCCGGCCAATTGGCCATCCCAATCCCGTCCCTGATCAAAAGACAAAAACAACTTTTTCGACATTAAAAGGGGTGGACCCGGTTTACCAAATTCGTAATGCTCCATTTCCCATTAGGGCCCAATCTAGGCTGTGCGGAGTGCTTAACGATCCGTGAAGCAAACAGAGACAGTCTTCCCCTCTACAGTTAAAATTCAGGTCAGTCGTAGAAGAATCTTGGTTCATTCTGCCTGCCGACCTTCTCTGGTCCGCGTACCCATTCCTCCTTTGTTCATCATCAAAATCTCTCGCTACCCTTCGCTGTTTTTTTGACATTTTTTTCTTTCTGCTGGGTTTACTTACCGAATCCCTCCAGTCCCCACACACACCCTCAGTTGGAGGCAATTTCCCTTCAATAATCCCCCGGTGTTAATTCTTGTGCAACCGCAGCATTGTAAAATTCTTCCCAATGTGATGTTACATATCTAAACTTCACTGATTTAAAATCAAGGGTCTCTGTTGTTATGCAACAACAACAACTTTATCAAATTTTTTTCTTTTCTTTTCTTTTCCGTAACAAAGCAAAGCCATCTTATGAATGTGAGACTAGAAATGTTGAGCTTGAACCCGTTAGTCATGCGGAAGCAGCTCAATTATGAGTCTTTTATCTATCTCTCACCAGACAGTGAGTAGGCACCATGACTGGGAGGGAGGTACACTGCTCGATTTGCGATACGGGTGCGCATTAAACATGTGTTTAATAGATAGCACGTGCTATTGATTCAACTTTTTCTTCCCCTCCTGAAAAGCCCGAGTTTAGCAAAGAATTTCCAGAACATATTCAGTTGAGGCAACAAGGGAGCTTCATAGATGGAGAGAAAGTCCGACCTCAAACACACACGACGGACACAACTTTAAGACCTCTTTGAATAGAATTAGAAGGAAAGTTGTGTGTGGGAAAATTAAAGAACCAAAAGAGTGAGGTAAAAAAGATTTCGAGAGAATTGAAAGAAGTTACTAGCGATAGTTAGTGGCACTCATTGAAAATTTTGTGTCTGACTAATCCATTTTGCAAGACACTAAATACAAGAAAGCAATTTTTAACCTTTTTCACTAACCAAATACACATTGAAAAGAAAAGATGACTACAATTTTCTTCATTTTCTCACACTTTTCCTCACAAATAGACACACTACCATGCCGTCTGAAAAACGGACGATGGTGGTGCAGAAAAGGAGTCAGCCCTGATACAGCGTAACAGAGCCAGGTGGACGGCAGTCATGGCACAGACCCAGTAAGTGGATTGGTCTTTCGTTTAAGCTTTTCTGTCAAGAGCCCCCGATTCTTTCCGCACCAGGCCAAATTGACATTGGAGCCCACTGGAACTGGACCCTGATTCACTGAGTTCAAAATTTAAACATAGATATCGCATTCTTGAATCTTGGTCGCCCAAACACAGCACAATGCAAAACGTGTAGAAAAAAATCATCCTTGACAGTAATGGACAGGAATAATATTTTTATAACTTAATTTATTTTAATGTAGAAGTAGGTGAGTCCATAAGAATATTAAAAAGACTGGGTATAAAGGATTAGTAAGTATAAGAGCCTGACAAAATTAAAAAGATGTTCTAGCGTTTCTTTTGAATTTCTTTCCACTGCAAGTGAGGTTCGAACACAAAACCTACAATTCAAAGAGGGATTTAGTCCTTTTTTGGTAGTAAGGAAAGTTGCAAGTTTGCATGCCAAGACCTCCGCTTGCAGTCATTGACCACGAAGCACTGGGATTTTCAGTTCCCACTTCCCACCAGTCTTTCGTTACTTACTGTGTGAATCATGATTAATCAGTAACCCCATCATTAATTGAGAATCTTCTTGGTTTCTCATCTACTAACCCTAGAATTTGGCGAGTGAAACAATCAAGGAACTAATGTGAATGGGATTCAACTGCAATTTGCGATTTGGAATATTTTTCTACGACTTAGTCTTCCAAATTCCAAGTCCTCCATAATATGTGAAAATGAAAACAAGTGACAATTAGCTCGGCATACAGTTCTCAGCAGCTCTGCACAACTTCTATACGGTATGATTGGCAGCAACAATCTTCAATAGCTAAGGTTTCGTTTGGTTTGTTATTAAAAAAAAAATAGACATGAGAGAGGTGCTTCCAAACAAGATTACCGTCAAATGAAAAGCGGCCAAAGCATAATCATTCTCACCAGCAGAGATATTCGACCAGCTATGAATTTGATTTTTGACCAGCAGTCGGAAAACCATGTACCCACTAAAAAAAAGTCTTGTATTTTTATAAAATGGACATGAGAGGTAGAGGGATTCTTTAAGCACAATTCTGGAACCTATTCAGTATACCAAATGGGTCAATTTCCTCGATTCATATCGAGAGTGGACTGCAGGATTCCATCTCCTTCTGGTATCATGGCCATATGACACTATGGCTACTATGAGAATAGATAAACCACCGTTACAACTACTTTGCTTCTTTCTCTCGTAGGGTAGGGCGGGTTATTAAAAAGTAAAAGTAAAAGAGAGAAAAACAAGTAGGAAAGAAACACCTTTTACTCTTTTGCAATAAAAGTTTTCGCACAACGTTCCCACAACTAAATAACAAAACAAGCCACTTAGAAGGGGAATGAATGCCACGAATGTATCATCTCATCTCTCTTTATAAGTTGTCGCATTACTTCCTTCCAAAAAAAAAAAAAAAAAGGTTATCGCATTACTGGAAAGATAATGATGAAACAGGATAAGATCTGTCCCGTTACCTTCTCTTATTTTACTACCTGATTAAAAAGTAACATTATTATTATGAACCCGATCCTCTCCATACTTTTTTCATTAACTGATATATTACACACATTTAACAAAATGATCACTTCTTCTCGTCTACACCATCGGTCAAAGTCTACCTATTTTGTCTCCTACCTACTAGGTACATATTACTAGTATAGACCATCTCGACGAGCAAACCAAGTCGTCTTCCATTGGTACAAAATGCTAGCATAGTGGATTAGCAGTGCCTCAATTTAAGTTCGATGGAAAACTCAAATGAGATTTGATGGAAAAAGCTAGCATGATTTTTTTTTTTATCAATATGAAGCTTCCATCCAGAGAGGGGAGACAAAAAAAAAGAAAGAAAGAAAGAAAAGACCACTTCCACTTGGCATGCCTGAGGTGACAGTCTTCTTGCAATGGAGAATCAGTCAAGGAGGATATAATCGCGTTTACAAGGAGGATGTGATGTCATGCCATCGGCAAATGTTGTATAGCGATTTGTCACGAGCCAAAAAAAGTATCTGAACAGAAGTCTAATGACTTGCATTTTCATCAAAGAATCTACTTGTATTAGTAATAAAAATGGCCGTGGGCACACTAATCTCGTACCTCCTTTTTTGACTCGTGTAATCTGGAAAGAATAAACTGTTTGGCGTCGCATCTGCAAATGGAGCCATTCCAGTGGGTGGATTGTTTGATAATTTGCGAACACAGGGTCTGAATGCCGTGACTTCGTTCTCGCTGCAGCTGTACCTGGTCTCCGGCTCCAGCGTTGTTTAAAAACCGTCTCCATGGCAATTTGACACGTGCCTAGCTGTGAATGACTGCCGCGGCGTCATTGTCTCAGTTTTGCAATGCTCGATTACTACAGTTGTCACTCAGTCTGCCGCATGATTCGGGCGATTGATAGACGCAGGCAGAATTTCTGGAAGGAATAATTTCAAGTGTTGCATTACAAAGGTTCATTTTGGAACGGTGAAGAAGCTACTTCAAGGGGCTACCGAATAATATGCTAGCTAGCAGTGTAAGGACTGACTCTTCCATTATCGGACAACCTAAGCAGAACCGACGCCATGATTCATTCATCCACGGGCCTCTTTAATTTTCTAATACAAACATACTGCGTAATCCACCACATTTTTCTTTACGGCCGTGACAATATAAGAAATGTTTTGAGTTGCCAGAGAGAGAAAATCTTGCTTGCTAAGTAACAAAAAGGATGCACGCACAAATGCCACCCCAGAATAACGTAAGATTGACGACTGGAGGCGAAAATATAACCAGATTGATTGCCATGCGTTGATCGGCACTTGGGATTCCATCCAACACACTTGACCCAGGTATGATAAGGTACCAAAATCAAAGTTTGAAAAAGTAACCATTATAATTTCTCTCTGTTCCCTTTCTCCTTTTAGTTTTCTGGCTTTGTGGACATGCGCACGCAATTCCATAAACAATTTGGAATTTTACCAAACACCTTTCAAGCAACATCCTCGCACAATATGGCCTACGAACTACAGGAGATATCCACCGAAATGGCATCTACACAACTGAGAGTATCTACCACGGTGTAACTATTGCATTGTGAGAGCTAACAGATTCCACGAGCAGAATAAGTGCTTCAAGACCAACAATAAGAGAATAACTCCAGAAAACAAACAGAATCAAGACCATATGCGTTACAAGCAGTTTTGTTTGCGTATCAACCCCATTAAAGGGATACCATTAGATGCAAGACCAACCTCTTGCCATGACAAACCAGATTTAAGATTGAGATCTCTCTCGTGCTGGCGGGGAACGGCTGCATGACAATAAAGAAGATCTCAAGAACTTGCTAATATTAAAATGAAGGGCAACGAAGATAAAGGTGTAAACAAATATACTGTATAGGCAGATCAAACCTCCTCTGACGTTGAGGCAAAGGGCTCTCAGCTCCGCCATTGCCAGGGCTATCTGTAAGTTCAGGATTTGAACTAGGGCTTCTGCCATTCCGATAATCATCAGGGCTCATCCTCTCCCTTTTCTCTCTTTGAGGATTTGGGCTTATATCATGCTCTTTCTTAGGACGTCTTCGCTCCCTTGGGCTATTATTATGGCCATTCTCAGAACTTAGCCTCTCTCTTCGGGGGCTTGGGCTATGTCCATGGCTGTGATCGGAGTTCCTCTCCTTTCTAGGACTTGGCTGACGGCCACTTCCATGCTCAGAGTTCCTTTCCCTTCCACTACGAACTGGGCAAGGTCCTTGACCATAATTAGGACTCACACGTTCTCTTCGATATGGGCTTCGGCCATGACCACGGCCATAATCAGGGCTCGCTCTCTCTCTTCCATATGGGCTAGGAGATCGGCCCCCATCATGGCTTCTTTTGGGAGACCTACCATGACTTCTATCAGGACTATAGCCGCTTCTCCGATCATCATCGTCCTTCACTGCATACTCCACTGTTATAACTCGATCCAAAAGTTTGCTGCAAGAATACATATGCATTCATTTTACCGAGAAAATATGCATCTTCTGACAAGTAAAAGAATATGCATGACCTGACAAGTAAAAGAATGTTGTAACTAAGCATTGAAGCTCGCATAATGAAACAGACCTCAAATTTGTAGCATCCAATGCTTTAGTCGCATCCTCTTGTGATTCATACTGAACAAATGCAAAATTCCGCCTGATCCTAACATTCAGTATTTTACCATAGGGATCAAAGTGCCTCTCCAAATCCCTTGTTCTTGTATGGTATGGATCAAAATTAATGACAAATAGAGTCTTTGAAGGTCTTAAACCAGAAGAGGCCTTGGAACTCTCAGGCTTCCTGCTACGTTCTTGCTGGAGCACCAAATGGTCAGTGTGTATCAAAACATCAGTAGAGAATATTTCAAGAAAAAATAGATGAATATCAAAGATGGTGCATTACCTTTGTCCACTCAACACGAAGCCTCCGACCCTTCCTTCCAAATTCAATACGATCAAGTCCACGGATTGCATCCTCTGCATCTCTCTCATCAACCATGTAAACAAAAGCAAATCCTGCAAACGATAAACAAAATAAGCAAGTGCCACATGTGCTACTATTAGCTATACAAAGAAGATATCTTCACCCAGGAAATGTGCACGCCTTCAAAGATGTTACTCTATTATACCAAACTGTGATTCTAGAAACTAATGACCAGCAAAATCAGTAACAGACCTTGAATGATGAACTAAGTGATGTCAAGGAACAACCACTTTAACGATGGATGTGTCATGGAAAATGTAAAGAGTATCTTCTCCATTTTATTCTGCTGCCTCAGCTTCGAGGTTGACTAATTGTAATGTCTGAAGATGAAGGCTGGGCAAAAGTCATGAGGGATGGAAGGCAATAATGACTCAGGAAAAGAAGTGATGGCGATGCCATGGTGGATCAGAGGGCTCTTCTTGAAAACAAGAAGAAAAGGGAATGCAGAAGAATCCATCCATCAACCAGGATTGTATGGGCATTGCACCGAAATCCTGCGTCGTCAAAGAATCAGTTGAGTATGGGGGCTTTAAAAGACATACTCTTGCTTTTCGTAAATGCATCGATACCCCACAAATACTCAACAGGGAAAGACTGAGCATCTTGAATTGCACAATGAATGCTCTGGCTCCATAAAGCTTTGACCGAAACCTAGCACTTGTAGTTGCAGCAGCCTCATTGAAATACTTCTCACAGTTTGTGTGGATTGAGTAAAGATGCAATGACTAATGAATAGTTGACCAGCAGATTATTTTCCCAAAACTTTCCAATAACTCAAGAATCAATAAGAAAAGCAAACATGAAATACCTAACCCAAGTCGAATGCATCAGTTTAGCTGGCCTCAATAACCTTAACCAAAAATGACCAACAAAAAATTGTCATTTAAATTTCATCCAGCCCTAGCAATCATAAAATTACCGGCTAAAAACCATAGGAGCCATGACCAGAATGGACAACAGTGATACATAATAGATTGATACTGCCAGTTTTTCACCTTCGAAGTCATTTCAGAATCAGCCATTAAAGGCATAAAATAGATTAAGTAGCACATTTCCATAAACCACACCCTGCATCAGTCACTTTCTGTTTTCCACAAACATAGAAGTGTCCTCTTCACCAATTGAGCATACTCTGGCTCAAGGATTGCTGCCTGATCTCTTTTCTGGGGCTACGGACACTTAACTTCGACACAGGAATGTAGTACAGGATTGATGCAAGTACTTTTGCAGACCCCCCATTGCATCAAGCGAGACTATACTTATAAACCAGCAAAATATTTACTTCCATTCTACTTCTCTCGAGTCAGTATTGTAACCTCTATACATAAGAAACCTTCAAACTGACTAATTATACCAGGTTAAATATTAATTTATTTTATAAAGAACACGCATCGAATATCTTAAAAGACATACCATAGTTACTGATACACAAAAAACACCTCTAAAAGGAATTCTTGTTGCACATACTAAAAGATCAAAATCAAAGGAAGACTCGAAAAGTTCAGGATTATCTTGTTAAAATGAAGGGAAAAATTCCTTAGGAGTCAGGTATATACATGCTCTCAAGAAACAGTTACCTTAGAAAGTCATTAAATAGGTTTGATAAAATTTGATAACTTTTGCATATATATCTCTCCCTATCATCCTTTAAATTTTTATGACAACACATGCTCGAAGCCCAGAGCACTAGCTTTCTCATCATATCATATTTAAAAAAAAAAAAAAAAAAAAAAAAAGCAAAGCAAAGCCACTCAAACTCAAATACAATGAGGAACAGGTCAGGCAGATGAACCAAATAACAAAGAAGTCCTCATATTCCCATTTGCAGCCACAATATTATGATTTTGAGAACATAACAATAGTAAGTAAAAACATCCCAGCAAAACTTACCAGACTTCATGTCCACCCGATCAACCCTCCCATATCTTTGAAACAGCCTCTCCAGGTCAGATTGGCGAGCATCATACTCAAAGTTCCCACAGAAAATCGACCTCATTGCACTTAAAACACAATCAAGAAGACTTCCAAGTCCCTGCACCAGTAACAGGAAAACAATTAATAAAACTGATTGCAAAAGAAAAAACCCAGAACGTCAGCAAGCAATTGGCCATCCAATATTTTAACATTAGATGCACTACCAAAGTAAATGAATTTTTATCGTAGACAAAGACGCCTCCACTTTCACAGAAATCATACGTCGCAAACAAATACCAAAAATCTTTTCCACCTCTAATCTCCAAAGTATTTCCGATCGTAAACACCTTTTATAACCCTCATCGACCAATATCAAAGAAAACTAATCAATCATCTAAATGCTGATACATTATATCCGCCATCATATATCTGTGTTACTCAGTGATCGAGTAAAATGAAGCCAAGTCACAGAAACAGATGCTAGTCTACAGAATTATAAACCACACAAACACATATCAAATTGAACTGAACTCCACGACGGCATGCAAGAAAAAAAGAAAAGAAAAATGCATATTTTTCTACATTATACACGACTCGAACAGCACAACATCCTCCTGCTAAGTGATTAAGTGGAAAACAGAAAATTTAGACGAATTTTATGACTCCAAATACAAAATATCCCGACATGGTACCGTAAAATTAAGAAAGGGAATAAGTAAAACAATATCGTGTTAAATCCATGCTCATCTCATCCGGAATCCATTACTAGCACAAAGAAACCGTCCTCAAATATTACTAATCGATAAGAGAAACCTGCGATTACCCCTATTAAAGAGCGATTGTATCTGTGAATTACAGTAAAAAAGGAAACTCTCAAGTTTTGAAGAATCGAAAGATCATGCTTGCTTCCTCCGTTGAGCAACGTTGAAGAACAGGGGAAAAAACCAGATATCAGACATAAAAATAGTACTACTCAGCGCCGCAAACTTTTCCCATGAAATTTGACCCGATTTATCCAGCTAGCAAACAGATCTGATGAAACAAAGCAGGTTATAGAAATTAAAAGGAAAAGGATGGAAACGAATACAAAGTTTACTTGAATAGCAGAAATGGTGCCCAGCTGCCGCCTACAAGCTTCCTACCACGGCTACAACAAATATCTTCATCGTGAGTCCGACGGTGACTGGATCTCGTGATTTTGCCCCTCAATATATAGCGGTGTAGGTTATGCTACTAGTTGAGCATACGACGTCGTTGACCTCAACAAAATTAAAGGAGGCAGCCACCTGTTTCTCGCTCTCTTCTGGCTTAGTTTCGGAGTTTATGATAGAAAAGAAAAGAAGGAAAAACTTAGGCCTTGTTTGGATAGCCATTTTCCAAAGAAAAATTGCTACGTTTTTTATGAACATATTTCCCAATCACCTTTTTATCTCACATATATCAAATTGCTGTAATGATTTTTCTACAAAAAAAATCTAGAAAAATGCAATACAAACACAACCTTAAGTTACGGAAGAAGAAAAGAAATTGTTATATTGTTTAGGAATTTTAAAAATTAATAGAATGATTTTGGATATAGAAGTTATTAAATATTTGTTCAAAATCTTTTTAAGGACAAAATAAACATTTTAAAAAATTGAAAAGTTTTCTCAAAGTTTCCTTTCATTTTCATCTAAGTTTTGGTTATTATTCATCCTTCTGAATCCTCCATTTTTTTCTTTTTTTTTATTACTAAAAATTAACAAACAAAAGAAAACTAAGGCCTTGTTTGGATTGCATTTTCTTGGATTTTTTGTAGAAAAAATATTGTAACGATTTGATGTATGTAAGGAAAAAAGATAATATGAAAATGTGATCATGGAAATTGACGCAGTTTTTCAGCGGAAAATAACTGTTCAAATGGGGCCTAAACTTTATCTTCTTTCCATTTCTTTTTTGTCCAAATTCTCAACTCCCAAATGAAGCCTAAAGACGTAGTTTCAATTGAAGAGAAGGAACATAAAGGAAAGGAAATCGCTGCAGTTGGGACGGAAGGAAAGAAGAGGAGAGAAGAAAACGTTTTTTTGGCCATTGGGCCGCTGAGGGTGAAAGGAAAACAAAGGCAAACACTGATGAGTTTATTTCCTACACGTTCAAAACAAACAGTTCCTAAGGCTTAGTTTGGGAGTTGAAACTTGGAGAGAAATAATGCAAACTTTCGTTTGGCAAACAAGTTTTTTTATTGTTTGTTTAAAACTTTATTGTCACACACTATTTGCAGAAAACTTTTTGAAATATGTAAAAACTTTTCTTTGGAAATTTTTTTTTTCATCTTTCCCTTGTTTCCTTTCTTTTCTTTTTTCCCTTTATTTCCTCTCCTTTTCTTCTCCCTTCTCAATTGCTCTTTTCTCCCTCCTTCCCTCCCCACTAGTCGACTGTCATTATTGACATCTCCATCGACGACGGGCACTAATGGTGCTTTTTTTCTTTTTTCTCTCTCATTCCTCCCTCTCCTATTCTCCCCTTCTCCAGTGGATGAGTAGGGGTGGCAATTTTCGACACGACCTGAAAACACGACACGAATCTAACACGAAATTAATGGGTTTGGGTTGAGGTTTCGAGAATTCGGGTCAGAATCGGGTTGAACCCGATGAGTCCGAAAAGAAAACATGTCAATTTCGGGTCAACCCGTGGTGACCTGATATAACCCGATATGATCCGTTTACGAATTAAAAATAATTTTATTTAACTAAACTAAGTTATTCTTTTTTTTCAAAGGCATTAATTACTTAATCCTAAATGAATTTATTTAATTTGTGTGAAGTTGAAATTATTATATTTGGACAAATAATATATTATATTATTTTTTATTTTTATACTGTTTTAATTTATTTTATATTTTGTTTGGGATAAAACACTTTTACGATATTTAATTTATTTAGATTTGGTTTGGAATTATTTATTTAAATTTTTATTACTTGATTATGTAATTAGTTTTGTGAGAAATTAATTTTATTAGAAATTACAGTGATAAATTAATAAATTAAAATTAAGTTTCGAGTCATTTCGGATAGATCCGCCAACCCGTCAACCTGAAATTTTCGGATTTGGGTCAGTATACCTGACCCGTCACGGGTTGACGGGCCGAGTCAGACTCGACCCATCAATCTGATTTGGACTCGAATTGCCACCCCTATGGAGGAGTGGGAGGAAGGGAAGGAGAGGACGGGAGGAAAGGGGAGAAGGAGAGGAAGAGTGTGAGAGGAAGAAGGAGAAAGGGAGGAGAGAGAGGAGAGGAAAGAAAAAAAAATAGAAGAATTGTTGGTGCCAGCATAAATGTTGATCGGTGCTAGCCAGCGGTGGAGATGGTGGCGCATTGAGGTAGAGGTGGAAGAAAAGAAAAAGGAAGGTAATTTTTTTAATATTTTTTTAGTATTTTGAAGTGTATATTTTAAAATATTTGAGAATATTTTTGAGGTTATTATAGTTAAAATTATTTAAAAAATTGAAAAAAAAAACTTGGCAAAAAACTCTTTTGCAAACAGGTCCTTAAGTTCATTTGGCAGCGCTCGTGTTTTTCCCTTTGTTTTCTTTCATAGGGATGACAGGATTGTAACCGCCAAAATTTGTACCCAAAACAAATACGCTACCAAATTGCGGCACATCCCATTCCATTGTTTTACAATGTCAATTTTGTTGTGAAACAAATAAAATAAACTACTAACGTAGGGATTGGAATAGTAGAGTGAGAAGCGGAAAGAGAGAGAAGAACTATAGTATTATTCTATTCATTGATCAAAGTACTTCCAGGTTTCAAGATTACAAGGTTATCAATGAAGTAGGATACACCCCTATATATATAGGTGATCCAAGACCAAAGGTACATGAACCCTATTAAAAACAAATACATGAATTTAGTACATCAAGTACATCCATAAATGAGTTCATCCAATGTACCAATGAATCTAGGGAGAATACATGTGTCTATCATCTTGAGAATACAAACGGACATCTTCATCTTGTAATCCTTCTTGAGAATACCAATGGACATCCACATCTTATCATTATTCCATAACACTCCCTCTTGGATGTCCATGACACAAGGAATATGCCTCGTTAAAACCTTACTAGAGAAAAACTCAGTGGGAAAAAAACCCTAGTGAAGAAAAAAGAGTACACTATTCTTGTGTAATAAATTCTCCCCCAGAAGCAAACATTATATGAGATCCTTTAGCCGATGCATACCAATATTCTTCACCAATTTCTCAAATATAGCAGTCGGCAAAGCCTTGATAAACAAATCTGCCAAATTATTATCCGATCGAATTTGTAGCACATCAATCTCACCATTCTTCTGCAAATCATGAGTAAAGAAGAATTTCGGTGAAATGTGTTTCATTCTATCTCCCTTAATATATCCTCCCTTTAATTGAGCTATACAAGCTGCATTATCTTCATATAAAATAGTTGGAGGAATTTTCTTCTCGGAGGATAACCCACAACTCTTCTAGATGTAGTGGATCATTGATCTTAGCCAAATGCATTCTCGACTGGCTTCATGAATTGCTATTATTTCAGCATGATTTGATGAAGTGGCAGTTAAGAATTGTTTTGTAGAACGCCAAGAAATGGCTGTTCCGCCACAAGTAAAGAGATAGCCAGTCTGAGATCGTGCTTTATGTGGATCAGACAAATACCCAGCATCAGCATATCCAAGCAACTCAGGCTTAGATTTATTTGAATAAAACAAACCAAGATCAATTGTTTCTTGGAGATAGCGAAAAATGTGTTTAATACCATTCCAATGTTGTTTTGTAGGCGAGGAACTAAATCTTGCTAATAAATTCACAGCAAATGATATATCTGACCTTGTACAATTAGCAAGATACATAAGCGCACCAATTGCACTGAGATATGGTACTTCAGGATCAAGTATCTCTTCATATTCCTCTTGTGGTCTAAAGGGATCCTTATAAGGATCCAATGATCTGACGACCATTGGGGTACTTAATGTATGTGCTTTATCCATACGGAATCGCTTTAATACCTTCTGGATATAAGCAGTTTGGTGAACAAAAATTCCACCTTCTAAATGCTCAATTTGTAAACCAAGACAGAATTTTGTTTTTTCAAAATCTTTGATCTCAAATTCTCTCTTCAAATATTCGACAGCCTTTTGGATCTCTTCAGGAGTTCCAATCAAATTGAGATCATTAACATATATCGCAATAATCACAAAATTTTGATCCATTTTTCTTGATAAAAACACATGAACATATTGGGTCATTGATATAACCTTCTTTTGTTAAGCATTTATTGAAGCGGTTATACCACATACGTCCAGATTGCTTGAACCCATACAAAGACTTTTGTATTCTAATAAAATATACATCTCTAGGATTTGATTTACATGCTTCAGGCATGTTGAATCCTTCATGAATTCTCATGTAAATATTATTTTCAAGATTCCCATACAAACAAGCAGTGACAACGTCCATCAGACGCATATCAAGTTTTTCATGCACTGCAATACTCACAAAATATCTAAATGTGATCGTATCCACTACAGGTGAATACGTTTCATCATAATCAAATCCAGACCTTTGTAAAAAGCCTTGGGTTATAAGTCTTGCTTTATATCTCAGTATTTCATTCCTTTTCCTTACAAAAATCCATATATATCCAACTAGCTTTACACCTTCAGGTGTTTGGACTACATATCCAAAAACATTCCTTTTAGCCAGTGAATTTAATTCAGATTGTATCGCATCTTTCCATTTTGGTCAATCACTTCTATGCCGACATTCATCAACCGATCTAGATTCATGATTATCATCAACTTCTATAATATCAAGTGCTACATTTCATTAGACTCCAATTAACTTTTTTATAATTTCATTCTCTTCAGGAGTTGGCTCTTCGGGAGTTGGCTCTTCAGGAGTGACCTCTTCAGGAGGTTAAATTTTGTCATGACATTTATTTAATCTCCGAAAATATTTGAAATCAATTTATACCTTATATAGGTAGACCGGCCTTTATTTGTAGCACTTGTACATGTCCTTCAGGGACGTCAATTTTAACAAGAGTATTTCCTGCAGGAATAGTTGATTTGATAACTCTTCTGGAGTCGATAAATATAACTTTCTTCAAATAAAGAATTTCTTGAACTTCTAGTTCACATTATTTTATATGAGGATCTAGAAAATCTAATTTTTAGATGATTTCCTTTTCCTTTCGGTTGATCTAATTTTTAGATGATTTCCTTTTCCTTTCGGTTGATCTTTTCCTCCCCCTAATGTCGGGATAGATCACTCATCAATAGTATTTAATCGTAAAAGGTGATGCATATCCGACATCAATTTCTTTTGGAGCCATGTATAATATAAAGGGGATATGTATAAATACTTGTCGACATACAAATACTCTCATATATTCATTGGGATCAGTAAACTTCTGGTTTACTGCAGGTGATGATTATAAAGCAAATGAGAATGAAGATAACTATATCGATAACCATTTCACCCTCGAATGATTAATATGATATAATCAACCTTTATCTCAGTTGATTTTTATTATTATCTCATTCAGTATCTCGGATAAAATTCTTTATAACTTGGGAGAGAGTAGTGCATTATTTATGACAATTTTAATTTCTTCAGGGAGAAATGGAGTGGCTCTTCCGGAGCTCTCAATTAATTTTGCACTACCAATGATGGTATTAACATTTGTCTCTCCTATCTCCAAAGAAGAAAAATATCTTTTATTTGTCAATATAGTGTGCGTATAAGCACTATTAAACGAGACATATGTTATCATCACCATTATTTGATCTCAAACATTTGACATCCATTTCTTCTTCAGGAAGAAAATAAATGAAACTAAATATTGATAAAAGATACGAGAATAGACATATGTAAAGTAAATAGATAAAACTAACAACATACCATACCAAAATAATAGACATATGCAAAGTAAATAGATAAAACTAACAACATATCAAACAACATACCAAAGTAATAGACAATCCTGCAAGATTAACAATATATCAAACATCTAGATAAATATTAAATATATGATCATTTTGCATCTTCAGGATGCTCAAAGAAATCGGCAATATCCAGGTGTGTCATGTCAGCATCATCATCATCATAAGCATCCTTTTGGTCGATAAAATTTGTCTCGACAACTTTGTCCTTCTTTTTCAATGATGCTTGATAGAGATCAACAAGATACTTAGCCGTACGACAGGTACGGGACCAGTGACCTTCCATACCACATCGGAAGCATTTTTCTTCATAAACTTTCTTTTTTCCTTCTTTCGGATCGTAGTCATTTTCTCTCTCTTGAGAAATATTTTGTTGCTTGTCATGGTGATAATTTTCACGAGGCACAAATCTACTACGATCACGTCCACGGCTACAGGCACGTCCCCGGCCTCTTCCACGGCCACCTCTACGGTCACGTCCACGACCTCGACCAGAATTGTGGAATTGAGTCCCATTCGCTTCAGGGAATGGACTTGCACCAGTTGGTCGGGACTCATGATTTTTCAGCAATAATTCATTATTTTGTTTTGCCAACAGAAGACATGCAATAAGTTCAGAATACTTCTTAAATCCTTTCTCTCTATATTGCTGCGGCAGGAGCATATTAGAGACATGAAAAGTAGAGAATGTTTTCTCTAACATATTTTCATCAGTGACTTTTTCGCCACACAATGATAATTGAGAAGTAATTCTGAACATGGCTGAATTATATTCGTTGACAGATTTGAAATCTTGTAGTCGTAAGTGGAGCCAATCATATCGGGCCTTTGGAAGAACGACCAACTTCAGGTGGTCGAATCTTTCTTTCAAATCTCGCCAAAGAACAAGAGGATCTTTGACAGCAAGATACTCTACTTTTAGTCCTTCATCTAAATGATGACGAAGGAAAATCATGGCCTTAGCACGGTCTTGGTTTGAGGTATCATTCTCATCAACAATAGTATTACCAAAACCCATTACTTCAAGATGAATTTCAACATCCAATACCCACGATAAATAATTTTTTTCAGAAATATCAAGAGGTACGAACTCTTGTTTTGTGAGATTAGCCATAAGAATATGCAATAGATTCGTAGGAAAGAATTTTACCTTGATAAGTAGTCAAAAGTTGTTTGGGTAGAATCTTGACACGTCTTGTGCTTCACTTTTGCTTCGCGCCTTTCCTTCACTCAAAATAGAGACTCGTGCTCTTCCTTAGCTCAAGATAAAGACTCGTGCTGATAACGTGTTGTGAAACAAATAAAATAAACTACTAACGTAGGGATTGGAATAGTAGAGTGAGAAGCGGAAAGAGAGAGAGAAGAACTATAGTATTATTCTATTCATTGATCAAAGTACTTCTAGGTTTCAAGATTACAAGGTTACCAATGAAGTAGGATACACCCCTATATATATAGGTGATCTAAGACCAAAGGTACATGAACCCTATTAAAAACAAATACATGAATTTAGTACATCAAGTACATCCATAAATGAGTTCATCCAATGTACCAATGAATCTAGGGAGAATACATGTGTCTATCATCTTGAGAATACAAACGGACATCTTCATCTTGTAATCCTTCTTGAGAATACCAATGAACATCCACATCTTATCATTATTCCATAACAAATTTATGGAATTATTGTCTTGTTTTCCACATTGTTATTTTTCCATTGATATACACAATTTTCTGCCCATTTCGTCTTTTTGGTCTCGTTTAACATATACCGAAATAAATAAGAATACATACTCTGTTTTTATATTTTAAAAAAAGGTTTAAAAATCTTTTCCTTTTTTTTTAATAAAAGAACAGAATGATAAATGTACTTATTTTAACTACATTGTTTGAAAAGAAAAAAAAAAGAAGAAAAAAACCAGCTAGTCGAAAACGTGTCGATTATCGCTACACCCATTTGAAGGGAAAATATAATTGAGTCCTTTTGCATTCTTTTCTTCTTATTATTATTTTTCTTTCAAGGACAAACGGCAAATTTAAGAGACGGTTCTAGCATCTATCTCATTCACAAACGTTAAAATGTACCCGGGGAGCCAAAAACAATAAAAGGTAACCAAAGAAACTAGGAATCCGTTTCTGGGCAATTCTTGATCCGCGATCAAATAGTTGCGTGACTGAAAATTATGAATATCAGGGCAGCAGCACAATTCGGATTAGTAAGAAAAAGGAATGGAACACAATTGTTTGTGCCTGTTGTTGCGTGTTCCAGATAATGCGGGAAGGTTTTAGCTCAGATATATCGTCTCCTGGTAGTAAATTAAATTCTGAACGTATGCATTACTACTGATCACCCAGTCTTAATCTTCTCGTAGAGCAACCAGAGTAGCATGCCAAGTGCAGTGTCCCTGATCAAGCTTCTAAGAGCACGAACAAGCCAAGTGGAGCCATCTCCTGAAGCTCTTTGTCCTGCAAGATCCCGGAACCGCAAGTTCCCCTGATCCGATATCAGCGAGTATATGACTCCATTCATGTGCCCCTTTCCTATTACTCCCACCACTTGCTTACTATTATTCACAGCTTTGCTCCTCTTCAGAGACCATGCTAGATACTGAAACCACAATTGTGCAAAAGAAAACCACATCAAGGAAAAAAGACCAGAAAGATTTCCCCAGTGTACTTCGCTTTCTATGGATCCATTTTAAGGTAGGAGCCACTTACCGTGTCGCGTTCATGTATGAGGGGCTGCAGGAGCGATGGATATGAAAAGCTCAACTGCTCATAGAGCTGGAAACAGTTTTCTTCCCGAGCGCTTGATTCCTGGTGTACAAAGATGTGCAGAATTAGAAAAGGATAAAGGCTAAACAAATACCGGGGAGACCGAGGAAACCTTTAATGTCTTCATGGATAGGTCCGACAATGATGTTAATCCACCAATAACGGAGGTCAACAGACTCAGTTTTTCCTTCCATATCAGAGAATTCCATGCCCGTTCAAGCTGAAATTCAGCAATAACCATCACTACCGTCTTCTTTTGAACTCCATGATCAAGTACTTCAACCATCTAAACAATGGCTAGTGGGGAAACAGGAAAGAAAGGCAGCACCAGATGTGATCAAGTACTTCATTGGCATTCCTAAGTTTCTTATTAGCACACCCCTCGACTTTTTACTCAAAGAAAAGTACGAAAAATAATCCTGTATTTCATTTTAATAACAGCTCGATAACAAGGGAATGGTTCTAACTTCTAAGTGAGTAAATGCAGCGGAAGCCAGGTTACCTATTTTTGTCCAACAGACCGGGTCGAAAAGTCAAAAAAGTTACCATTAATAAATAAAGAAGTGGCTATAACAATTCCAAAGGGATGCAGTAGTGGTTCTTAAGAAGTGAGCCAAGGTACATACAGTAATTTCAATTGGGCGATCTCCTAGTACCATCTGAGCACCAATTTCTTCAGCAGCCTTTCGGGCAGCACGGAACTGCAAATCAAGCCATCCATCCAAGTTCTCATCATATGGGGAAACGAATAGAATAAAAAAGGATGAAGAAGAGAAGCAAAAATTGATGACTTGATATATTTTTAATACGCATTTGTTTATACTCTTGATAAGTAGAGAGAGTACTTCATCTCCAAAAGGTCGATTAATTTCTGAAGATAGCTTGGAAGAGAATGCTGCCAACAGTAGGCGCAATGCTAAAGCAGTTTGACCACCTGTGCAATGGAGAGCAGAATCAAATCGGCTATGGACACAGACTTGAATAAAGAGTTGCGAATACGGAGCCAAGTCCATGAACATACCCAAGCCTAGGCTGCGACCAACTGCACCAAAGAATCCAGTCCCACTTAAAGAAAACATGCTCGACCTTAACTGCTTCTTTAGCTTCCCATCGCTACAAGTGTACATAATCCCAGCTCTGAAAGTGGACCCTGCAGGATGTGAAGTTAAGTAGTGGATTGACGACATAGAAGCATGATTTACGTCAATTCCACTAATGCAGCACCAGCAGGGGAAAAAGAAAACAAAAAGCATCTCTTCACTACCAATTTCCGGTGTCATTTCTTCTTTGTACTTCAAGCATTGAAATATTGCTGTGCCTCATGACAAAGCACTTGCTGTAGTTTTAATTCCTCGTCTTATACATCATTTTGACATTGCCGTTTTTCCACCAAGATTGTGGACGTTGGTATATTATACCAATTTAACAAGTTTACTTCAAACTAAGTGAACTCCGTGCAATCTCAGGAAAGACCAGAAAGGAAACGAATTCTTTCCACATCAGTCAATCTGATCTAAAAGGGATTTGCAAAAAGCCTCTTAGAATTCCTTGATGCTCGATGAATACTCAAAATTGCCATCAGGCAATGTTGGAAATAGAGGCATTAATACCTGATGCAATCTTAGAAATTACTCCGCCCTATTACGCGACACACTAAATTGACAACTTAATCTATTCCACTCCAAATTCGTTAAATCAACTTGTGCAAGTCAATCAAAGACTAAAGCCCTCCTTATCTACTTCTATGTAACCAAATTCACATATACGTAAAGTCAAACAGATTGGAAATAATATTAATGTACAAATAGCAGCGTTGGATTTGTACGACCATGATGTGCAAAGACTTGCCTGCTTCTGCAAAGTTCGACAACGACATTATCAGGCTTTACAGCACGAATGACCCTTCCAACATCATCGGCAGACTCCTTTGAAATATGGGTGGTTCCAAATAGCCATATGGCCTCTGGTTCAGCGAACTCTGTTCTCCAGCTTGGCACTGGACCGTACTGGTTCTTGGTGACGAGAACCAAGCTTCCATTGTTGGCCAAGTCAAGTAACTCCGGATGCGTTTCAGCAATTGCGGTTTGGGATCCACTCAAGATTTCGGTTCTGAAATCGAATTCGGGGGGTGGAGGTTTGACGGACACTTTTGTAACATGCGTATTGATGCATTTGTTTTCGAGTCTAAGGCCGTCAGAGTAGTGGTGTTTAGCCGCCGTGATGAAGGTTGGAAATGGATTTGCCATGATTTTCATGCTCAACGAGACGTTGGATGATGCAGTACAAGAGCTCTAGCTTCAGTTCAAAGACTACACCGGCCAGAGAACTCCGTGTACGGCCCTAGTCCTAACTCCTAACAACGAAAGGTGCTCTTTCGAAAATGCCAGGTACGTCAAGGGCGCAGGATCGATCCATCCAACAACCTGTGGTACGTATTGGAACAAGAAGCTTTTCCTAGAGAGTTTGTGGCTTTGGTAAGCTGATGTAACGTGTTTGCTGGAGTAATTTGTCAGGATTCTATCATTTCCAAAGATTTATTGCCAACCGCTCGGTTTATTCTACTCATGTGTTCATTCCACTCACCTTTCAGCCGGTTGTATCTTTTACCTTTTGGTGTTATATCCAATTTAAATTATATATTATCTTTTTGACAAGTAAAAAATTTTGAATAAAAAATTTTCTGCTCACAATTCCTCTTTACTTACCATTCAACCCATTATTCTCCGTCTTATATTTAGATGAGTTCATCAAAACAAACGTCGTTGTAAAGCTTAAATGGACTTAATACCATAATATGTAATGGGTATTCAAAACTCTTACTTTTTTTTTTTTTTGGGCCAATCATGATTCGCATAATTAGGTAGGTATGGTAGTTGCTGCGGCTCATTTTCAGAACCCGGCCGTGGGGTACAACGGTACGCTGGTAGCGTTGGTTTTGAGCTGTGAACTAGAACGTGACACAATTGCAGCGTTAGAGATGTGCGGTTCTGGCAACGTATTACGGTACAAAGTCGTACGACAAATATCTCTGCAAACCCCCCCCCCCCCCACAAAACATAATGATTATTATTAGATTGAGAGAGAGACGGCTGCCCTTCTGTGGGACTCAGCTACGGTTTTGATTTCTGCAGCCTTTGGATTGCATTAAAAAGCAAAGCTTGGACGAAATCAGCTGGAAGTGATCCACTTCCTCGCATTTAGTAGGACCGTCCAGAGTGTCTGTGCCAATTAAATGGGGTACGGTAATGGGTTCGGATGTCCTGCTCTTAGCCCCCACTTTAGGTCCGCCATGTACCAACTTGTTTACGTCAACTACTGTTTTACGCGCATTTTTCCCCCAATTACTACTCTATCAGTCCGCGCGTAATTTAATTATCTGACTTATTATAAGATATGGTTAACTTAGTATGCATTACATGCTTGAAGTCTTGAACTGCATCTTGCAAGTAAATTAGCTCCACTCGTACTTGAATCTGGACATAGAGGCCTCCCCGAGAAGCTTTATTGTTGCTTGCAGATTTTTTTTTCTTTTTTTAAGGAGACTCCTAAACTTACACGAGGGGTAAAAAAAAAAAAGAAGAAAAGAAAAGATTGAGAGTCGAACAAGAGAGCTAATAGTCACCTGATCAGGGCCTTACTGGTTACTGTTGCTTGCAGTGTTATTGTTGTGTAGAAAAGCTGTTAGAACTTAATTAGATCGTAGAGTTGAGTAATAGGTAACATTTAGTAATTCCTTTTTTGTGCCGACGGTCAAAATTCAAAGTATAAAATGAGACTAATACTTACTCAAAAGAAGATCATATACTTATGGTTGAAAAATGAATCAAGTTAGTCGGTATTGGAATTGAGTTTAGTTCAGTAAGAGATCGTTCGAGCATGGTTTGCAAACTAATCAACCGAAATTTGAGTAGGATTTTGTATTTGATAAAATTTTAAATATAATTCGAATTTGACTTGATTAGCATAAAATTAGAATTGATAGGTAAAAAGTTCAAACTACTTGAACTTGACTCGAGTTAGTTTGATAAATAAACTAGCAAAGTTTGAACGCCATCTCAAATTTATTAAAATAATCGAACAAACTTAAAAACTAAAATATTTAATTTAATTAGATTCGTTTACTACATCTTTACATATACTAGTGAAACTCACTAATATTTAATTAGCCATAAATTTGGATGACTAACCCTAAGTCACACTTTCCCATATCAAAACAAACTTTTACCTGTCTCACATAAAATTTCTACTTTTTTTAAACCTAAATTCAAAAATGATGGTTCATGAATTTTTTTAAAATGATAATTTGATTTTATTGATATAAAAAACTGTACAATTACGAGCAAAAACTCAAATTGACTATACAGTTAGTATGCATGACACTGAGAAATTAGAATTTCCTAGTCTTATATAATGCCTAATGCATAAGAACTAATCTTAGTATTTATATAATTCCTGTCTCCATTGATAAAACAAAATGAGCACATTTAAAATAACAAACTTAATAATTGAATATCTCCCACCAAAGTAGCTATATTGATGCTTGATGAATAATGGGCCTCAAAAGATAGTATGCTGTATGCCTCCCGCAGGAGGACTGGAGAATGGAAATTGGACACATGGGTAAAGCTCACAACCAATAGGATTAGTTGAAATCATGAACTCATAATTATTAATATTTTTGTCCCCAGAGGAAACATTACGATTCACGTGCTGGATGTAGACCCCGCGGCTTAAGTGTGGCAAGTGCGAAGGTTTAACAGCTAATTTCCAGCTCCAACTGATAACGTGTCGAAAACCCGCATCATCATGTGTTCTTTGCCTCGTGTTAACTGTTAACTGTTAAACAGTTGGTGAGTCAGCAGTACAAAAGCAATACTAGTACTAATTATACGAGTTAATGACGGAGACGTTAACAATGAGTGGAGACTGGGGAGGAGAGCGGAGGATGGGCCCGCGATTTTCCCACGCTTTTGAGTTTTGAGTCGGTCCTTCGCCCTCCTTAAATGGCCCAAATAATCGTCCCAAGCACTCAACCAAAATTCCGCATGACACACGTAACCGAATCCCTCTCGATCCTAATCCCACGTTGTACCCAACACCAATTCGAGCAAAATCAAAATGCTAGAAAGTGACCAGCCAAACAATTCTTTAAGACCAGACGACCCAGACCCTGACGATCCTCCTCAACCGAAGGAACAACCAAAACCCACAGGTATTATTGCCACTGCTTCTGGGTCAAACACTTGTGAATGCCCACCGCCACCGTCACAGCCATCGCCCTCAGCAACCATTCCCTCACCCACCGGAAGCAGCGGACCATCACGACGGCATCCTCATTTCAGGGGAGTTCGATCGAGGAGTGGCAAATGGGTGTCAGAGATACGTGAACCACGTAAAACTACGCGCATATGGCTGGGCACGTACCCCACCCCAGAAATGGCGGCTGCAGCCTATGACGCCGCCACGCTTGCATTGAAAGGACCCGACGCCATTCTCAACTTCCCGGAATTAGCTCCTACCTATCCTATACCGGCTTCTCTATCCGCGGCAGACGTACGCGCCGCGGCCGCAAGTGCTGCTGCTGCCAGAGAACCGCCACAAGAACCTGCAGTACTTGATCAAGCTCCTGCTACATCTCCAAGAGACCCTGTAGAAATTAACGAGGACGTCAACGCGTCGACTTCCGGTGATAATCAAATGGGACAAGATCAATTTGTTGACGAGGAGGAACTATTTGACATGCCAAATTTGCTAGTGGACATGGCGGAGGGAATGCTGGTGAGCCCGCCAAGGATGAAGCCCGCGGTGTCTGGTGAGTCGCCGGAGAATTCCGACGCAGATAATCTTTGGAGCTATCCTTGACGCCGGAGCTTCTTTTTCACCTTCTCAATCTAGCGCGTAAAACAATGTATGTAAAATACTAGCAGCGCAATAGTTGCCCGGTCATATGCTGTCTTTAGACCAGTTCCACCATATTAGATTTCTCTGGCTCCTTCCCAGTCCAACTTTTTCAGAGCTCCATTACTCTATTAGAATGTTGTGAAGTTTGATTTCCCCACTTTATTTTCTCCCAGCTAGCTAGGAGTTGGGAAGCGTAGTCGTGTGAGGCTTGAGAATATTGTGTTCTGCACTTCTGCTGCCTGCAACCTAAATGCTAGTCAGCAATAGATGAGTGTAAATATATAGACCCGTCTCATCGTATGCGATAAGCAGTAACAAGTGATTTTCCAGTGCCAAGTTTGTTATGTGCATTTTGTCTTCTTAGGGCCTGTATAATAAGAACCGGTGACCTGAATTAAAAATATTTTACCACTCCTGGTATTCAGGGATTTCCTAATTAATTTCGGAAAACGACTGCTCTGTTTCTGGAAAAGGAAACACAAAAACCGCCTTCAGAGCTAACGTCTCAAAGCAGGCTTGACCTTTTTCCATGTTTGACTTGAGACAGATATGAAGTCCTGCAGATGACCATTATATGCTTGTTCGTTGTTGCTTACCCTCGTAGATGAAACATGTCCATCAACATTTACCAAAAATTGGCTGCATCTGTCATCTGTGGCGTGACTTCAGCATGCATATGGTATCAGGTTTCAACTTTCACTTATATATACCAAAATTCAGATGGAGCCCAAAAAAAAAAAAGGCTCTAACTATATATTTCGCCATCAAGAAACATCCCCTGCTTTATCTGATTAATTCAATCTTAGGCTTCAGGCATCCCAAAGACGTGAGGACAAGGAAGTATTAGGTCATTCAATCAAATTTTCTGTCAAATAGAGTATCCGAGGAATTATATGACGGAAAAAGGTGGAAGATGCTTTTGGTCTGACAACGATGGGAATATACTACTAAGTGGATCTTCTAAATTCGGTGCAGCAAAATGGCCAATCACTAAATTAAACAAACCCCTTTTTTTTTTTTTTTTTTTTTTTGTTGACGCAAGGATATCCAGGTTTTCGGCTGACTATCCGCTGCGGCCTAAGAAGATAGGTTGATTCCTCTCGACCACGTTAATCCCAAGACTCGATTCTTGATGGTCATATCCTAAAAAAGAACAACACATCACACGAGCTACTCGGGTTGGGCAAAATTAAACCAACCTCAGTGGACCCTGATTCTTTCACAACCAAGAAAGAAGGCCAAAACAAAAAAGAAAAGAAAAAGAGGGAGATAGTTACTTAAAAGGGGGGGGGGGGGGGAATCTGATACTCGAGTCACCACTGGACAAGTTCTGAAAAATTCCATTGCATTAGATATATAGGAGTCATCAAGGGAGTAAATGTTTTCTTAAACAAAAAAAAAAAAAGAGGATGACCCTTCAATATTGCTATTGAGAAAATTGCCTACAGTAAAAAAAAGATTTGAAGAGGCAGCTAAAACACGAGAGACTTGATCACTTTATGCCGCGCTTGTTCATTTGGAAAATTCCCCTATGCTTCAAAATCTCTAGGAGGCAGGGATTACGGGTTCTCTTTTTACCTCATTTTTGTGTTCAAAGGACTGAAATGAAAAGGAAATATTTGTAATTTGATGTTTTAATTTCTAAAATTTACTTTGGTTAGATGTTTCTACTTAAAAAGAATGATCCTAAAATGGACTGAAAAAGATTTAGTACATGTTTATAATGTGTAAAAAAAGAGAAGTAATTATGTAAAGAGATGTGGTGGCCCCGATTACGTTTCTCCCTTTGGGTCAAGAAATCAAGGTGGACCATCGAATCAGAAATATTTCACCGTTCAAATTATGGTTCTGGTGGGTGATAATGATATCACACCAACACAGGCATTACTTGCCCAAAACAAATCCCCCCTTGGTTTTTTAGATTTTTTTTTGGGGGCCGGGGCCGGGGGGGGGGGGGTGGGGGTTGGAACTACCTATTATTTTGGTACGAAAAATTGCCCTATATACCGTATCTCTACATGTTAATGTTTCGTGACATATATATAGTAGATAAACATATAGCTCACCTAAATCTTTGTTTCTTCTTTAAAGATATTTTTTTAAAAAAATGAGGTTTATATTAAAGAACAAAATTGGTTTCATGTTATCTGAACTTTTAAGAAACTTAAAAAGTAAACCGATGAGGCATCCATTTACCAGCAAAAGTGGTGTCAAAACTTAGAGATACTGTATTCAAATCTCTTTTTTTTTTTTTTTACTGTTTTACTTTTTAAATCTCGCTCTTCTTTTATTAAAAAAAAGTTAAATTAAAAAAAAAAAGACTACAACTTAGGTAAAGTAATGCGTGGTAACTGGTCCGAATCCGCCTAAAAGCAGGACAAAAATCATATCTATTTCCACTATGGTCGAGGCCATGGAAAGAGTTGTAAACGCGACAAACGGGATGATCTTTCAAGCGATGCAAAAGGATTAAGAAGAATAAAAAGAACTAAATTTTATGTTTTTCCTCCCTGTGCGAGGGCCATATGAATTATGCTGTAGTATTAAGAAAATAATGCTCGCTGTCATTTTGCCCTATCGTGCGTGAAGAAGGAGAGCAGTTGCCCAGTAGAAAGTAACGATGGCGATTTAATGAATTGATTTGGTTCGCGGGTAATAAATAAATTGAATCAAAATCTTACCCTAGTAATTAAGATTGAGAACCAACTACTCTGGTTGGCCACTAAGAAAGATGTAAAACTATACTTGAATATAGGTCAAGAGATCAAAACTCTTGGCCTGTACTCTAAAAATCTAACTTTTAAGATTTTGTTAGCAGGTGCCTACACACCCCGTCTGTATCGGTGGTGGTTCAGTCCCTTCTAAATTCTCCTTAAATCTCTTCAGATCCCCCTTCCCTTAGTATAAAGTAGGAGTAAGTGATTCGTCTTCTCGAACCTCTTCAGATCCCTCACTTCTCTTTCAGATCCCTCACTTCTCTTAGTATAGAGTAAGAGTAGGTTTAAAATAGATTCTATCGTGTTCGTTCGGAAAAAAAATTTAGATTGAGATTTTAGGTTCAATCTTCTTTTTGTCTCCCCATTATTTAAATTCTATCCCACTGCTATTAGAAAAAAATTTTAAAAAAAGTTGAATCAAAGCTTTAGAGGTAAAAAAATATATATGTGAACATATTGTACATTTGTCAAAGCAAAGCTTTAGAACGTATTTGAATTGCTATTTTTAAGAGTTTTTATAAAAAGAGAAAAAAACATAAGATAAAAACGTAATTATAAAATATATTCATGAAAAGTATAAAAAATTTTCTGTGAAAAATCACAATCCAAACAAAGGCTTTAGTTTGGAGTCATAACGCACTCAGCAGCATCATCTGCAGCTCTCTTGAGAATTAATTCTGGTCATGTTATAAGAAAAAAAGTTTTTCCTTTTCCCCCTTAGCTCCATCCACTAGACTATTGGTGGGGCATTTTTTATACTCCATCTTCTAATTCCGTCTCGCCATTTTTTGTTTTTCTCCTTTTGGCCGGATCTTTTAATTCCTTCACATGCTGGAAATCAGATACTGTGTACTACTTCTTAAAGACCTAATCCAAACCTTGACTGGAACTCAGGGGCCACCGCAATCGTTTGCAATCCAGGGAAGAAACAGGCGGCTGTGGCGCTTTCAGTAGGAATGGATAGGGGACAAGTTCACTGGATCCAGCTGCTTCCACTATTAATTACTGTAGTAGAAAGGGATCTCGTATGAGAAAGACAAAACACGGAATTGGGGCCATTAATGCAACGTTGTACTCAATGTTGACAAAAAGTAATACCAACAGCTGAAGAAGTAGAAGAAGAAGAAGAAGAAGAAAAAGAAGGCTATGAAGAGGACAATCCGGTTCGAGTTTCCTGGTTACCTTCCTCTCTGGCTTTCTCCGGTTTCTGACTTTAATTATAGTAGTACTGTAGTAGTGACTACTGACTAGCGGAGGAATGAGATCACTGAATATGGCAGTGGGGACGGACAACCATACCACTCCTAGTAAGCGGCACGTTGTTGGGTGCTACCCATTTTACCCGTTCAGCACGTGGTTCACGCGTTTCCGCGGGAAACCACCGGTAGTAACTGTCAACCGTGTTCTGAGAACATGACGTCATTTCAAAAAGGAAATTTTGTTTCTTGCGTTGTGTCTCCCAAAGGCCAGAACGAAAAATAGGAAATACAAGGACACCTCTAGGCTCTGGCTTGTTGCCTTGTAGCTTTGTTGAATACTAGTTCGTAATCAATTATTGCCTTTCCACCAACAAAAAAAAAAAAAAAAAAAAAAAAAAAGCAACCGCTGGTAAAAAGCCATAAGAATCATTAGTAGTAGTACTATAAAGAGAACAACTTGGTTCTGTTTTTTTTTTTTCATACTTTAAAAGATAAATAAATTATCCGAGTATTTTACCAAGTTGTTTGTCCCCCAAATAATGTCACAATACAATTAAGTTTTTTTAGTTCAAATGAGCTTCCGATCCAAGAATATTTCATATTAATTATGAATTAATATCTATACACTGACAGTGTATATAGTTTTATTATTTGATGCATGACACATAATTTGAATTTGAATTTGAAATTCAAATTTTATATATGGATCGTGCATTCAACAGCACCGTCACTCACTGTATATAAGATTTATTTATTAATTATTTAGCTAAGATAGAGTGCTCCTCAAGATTGTCACTTTCTATTAATTCCAGGCTTTGTCTGAAGTTAAAAGTGATCAGTTGGCTCAATTTTCTGACACGTCAAACAGACGAGGAAAAAAAAAAGAGTGAGGCAACAAGGAATTTGACGTCCTCACAGAAAGAAAAGGTCAAGAGACAACCACGAAAGGATCAAAGATTATAAAACTAGCGAAATGAGGGGGCCCTAATCCTTCCAGCTCAGAAGAGTCAAATCCCCTCCTCCACCTGGCTCCAGCAGCCAAGTTGCTGCGTTACATCAGAGCACGTGTCAAATGCACCATGCCTCGAACCTCAGTACTACTGTGAAACAAAGTACAACTTGGGGCCCGAAGACAGCTTCGAGTCGGAAGAAATCCACTTTCTTTCCTGCCTTAAAAGTTGACTGCTCCCACTTGGGCTAACTAGAAACTATCAAAATCCCGCTCCCCGGCCCCCAGCCTGGCTGGCTGCTTATCACCGTTCCGCGTTCGCGTCTCTTGAGCGTTCAATCATTCACCCCACCCCCCTCGAAACCCGCCAAGTTTATATACAAACTAGCTCATCATCATCATCATCATCATCATCATCATCAAAACGCTCATCAAATATTTCATATCACATCATACATTCCAGTCAATTCA